GGCATTGACGACGGTCTTGATGTCTTCGCCGTCCACGGAATCGGTGGTATCTGCGGTAACATACTGACCGGTATCTTCGCTGCGTAAGTCTTGCTACCCTTCCTCCGAAAATCACCCGCAGAACATTGTTCTAACATGCCCCAGCTCCTACATCGCCGCCCTCGATGGCGCCTACACCGGCGAGAGCGCGATTGCCGGCGGTTGGATCGAGCACCACTACGTCCAGCTCGGCTACCAGCTGGCCGGCTCCGTCGCCGGTTTCGCCTGGTCCTTCACCTTGACCTGCCTCATCCTCTTCCTCATGAACCTCGTTCCTGGCCTCAGCCTGCGTGTCAGCGTCGACGACGAGGACCTTGGCCTCGACGACTGCCAGCTCGGCGAGTTTGCCTACGACTACGTCGAGGTCACCCGCCATGTTTCCGACATTGCGCCCAGCAGCAGCCATGACGGTGCCCCCGGCAGCTCCGCCCACAGCTCATTGCCTGAGAAGACTGTCTAAGTCTTTGGACAATAGAACTTTTGCAACTATCCATCACTTACAGATTTCGCTTGACCGTCGGAAAGTACATCGACGGCTGGAAAAAAGGGGAAGGCAGTTATCGTCTATAATACTCTTGTTCATATCTGCTTTGATACCAACTTGGCACTCGCTTGCTAGATTTACTATTAGTCTTTCCGTGGAACAATTCACGACATCATCTCATAACGTTCATAAACAGCCGCCCTCTCCCTGAAGTGTTTCTACGTCAGTTACTCCAAATACTCAAGTTCGTGTATTGTGTACCCAAAGTACCTGCATCTAGGTCCTGATGGTGTGGCATTTTCCTGAAAATTCTGCCTCGCCTGCCTCGGCGCCTGGCTGTAATCTCACCCACGATCACACCTACCCGTTGCATCGTTCCAGAAAATTCTCACTGCATGTGCGCACAGCTGCCGGCGTAGCATCTCAGGACTCATGCTGCCACCTACCAACTAAGGTATGGTAAAGCTATGGTAGGACAGCCGCTGCTCCTTGTCTCTCTCGGAAAAAGAAAGGTAGCAACGCTTGAATCCTTTGCATCCTTCGCTGCGACAACGCACCAATTGCTGTTGAGCATTCCAAATACTCCGAGACAGCAGCACAGTCAGCACCCAAAGATAGTTTTGCAATGGGCAAGTAGTATTTCACGATCCCCCTGACATTGGATTCTTAATGCTGAGTGAGTGACCCTGACTACGATTCGTCCGATCTCATCTTACGCCCTGTATTCTATTCCTCACCCTCTGACCTCACACATTCGACAACCTCTCCCTCGAGTCTAGTCACACATTCGTACATACTCCATCAAGGAATTGAACCACCATCGACTAACCAAGCCTGCCCGGTGACATACGAAGACTCATCTCCTAGCAAAAAGGCAATGGTCGTCGCCACCTCCTCAGGCTGCCCGACTCTCCCCAAAAGCGGCTCAAACACGTCTGCCCCGGTCTCTGTGGTCTTGGCCGCCAGCGCCGTTCGTAGAATAGGCGTATCGATTGCGCCGCTGCGTTTCTCGTCAGACAAATTTTCCTAGGTTTAATGCAGACAATTGCAACTTACGGGCAGATAGCATTGATCCTCAATCCCTTCCTCCCAAACTCCCTCGCCGCACTCTTGGTCAAACCAACAACAGCATGCTTACTCGCCGTATACGCCCCATGATACTCCAACCCGTAGTGCCCCGCCACGCTCGACACGTTCACAATACTCTTTCCCTGTCCCTCCTCCGCCAGTGCAGGAATCTCGGCCCTCATGGCGTTCAATATCCCCCTCGCATTCACGCCCATCACGAAGTCCCACTCATCGTCCTCAATCTGCGTCACCGTCGCCAAGTTGCCCTGCCGCCCAAGCACGCCGGCGACGTTGGCCGCACCGTCCAACGGTCCGAGCTTCTCCACCGTTTCCGCGATCCACGCCTCCACGGCTTTGCGGTCCCTCACATCCACGACTCGCGAGTAGACGTTGTCTGCCCCGTGGAGCTTGCTGAGATCCGCCGCGGCCGTGGTGAGGAGGGGCTCGTCGACGTCCGATATCGATACTCGCGCGCCTAGGTTGGCCAGGTGCTTCGCTGTCGCCAGGCCGATGCCCGATGCTGCGCCCGTGATGGCAATGACTTTGCCCTTGAGGTTGCTCATGTTTGTGGTGTCAGGCTTTGGCGTGATGAAAATGTCTTCCCCTCCGTAAACAATTAGCTATTGTGGTCGATAAGGCAGGGAATGTTAACCCCTCAGCGGGCTTTTGATGTCTTATCCATAATTGTGCATCTCCGCCTTGGGGCATGGCACGCTGAGTAACATGCTTTGAGCGTTGGATCGGCCCACTTGTTGTGGTCACTGCCGAGCTATCTAACAGCGCCGCCCGGCCAGAGTGGAGCCGTCCGGACACTCATTGCCGGACGTGACGGAGCAGCCAACGCTCCCGCCCCCCGGGAGCCTTTCCTTGCGTCAGCCATCTGGGAAATTTCAACAATCTTAGCGAGCTTAAGAGTGGCCTGTATTTGTTCAAATTCAACGGAGAACGGAGCATCGAAGAAGAGGCGACTGGCGCCCCAGTAGCTGCAACAAATGTCCGTGGGAGTCCGTGTACGCAGATTCACCAATGCCCATGGCACGTGGGAAAGTCATGAACAGATATGGGTTCCATTGAGACATGCTTGTAATTCTATCATTGATTCATGGGTGTGGGGCATGGCTTGTCAACCATTGTTCAAGCCTTTTGCATCGTCCTCAGCGTAGCAAGATCCTGATGTTTACATTAGATCGTCGCTTGGTCTGCCTAACTTGGTTACGTTTGCGTTCGAGAGAACCTCAAGAGCTGCGAGGCTGAATTGGAAATGGCGTTCAAGCGTTTCTTTCTCGATCGTCTCCAATGTCTGCAATCAAGATTAGTACCCGACTTTCTGCGTGCCTATAAGAGGTTTCGGTGGAACTGACATCTTTATCAGTGTGAATTCTGTCGTTGCCGATTGGGTCACGATCGGCAGTAATGAAGGCCGCAGCTATGATACCATCGTCAACTAAAATGAAACAAGAAGGAAACGTCGCGCTTACGGTACTTGTTATTGTGAGCGCTTGCATGATCGGAACAGGCGTAACCGCAAGAAAAGCTCAGTGTTGCGATGCCGCGCTGCTTCGCAATGGTGCGGAGGACATGTGTGAGGCGCGGGTCAATTTTGTCGCCACCAAGAGATACTTTGTCAGTGGAAGAGAATCCCAGCATATCGTGGTTCAGCATGGCAACCACCGTCTTGTTTTTGACCTTGTAATCGTAGAAGATCTCTGAAGAGCCAAGCAAACCGACCTCTTCTGCGGCATAGAAGTGGAACTCAATTGTGTTGCGAAGAGGCTTCCAAGGCTCGGTTTCCTTGTGACTCGTCTTTTCTGCTAGTGTCCGGAGAAGTTCAAGTAGCACGACCGTTCCAGAAGCATTATCGTCGGCTCCCGGAGCATAGCCACCAGGCTTTCTTGAAATGGAGTCGAAGTGGGCGCCGAAGACAACTGTTCAGAGGGTCAGCAGAGCCATCTAGAAGATCAAAGACAGGCTCACCGATGTCCGAGGTAGCTCCGGGTAGCTTGGCAATAACGGAGGGCTGCTTGGTGGCGTTATGCGCGAACGCGGCGGATTCGATATGCGGGTTGACCAAGGCAACAATTCTCTCAATACTTTCGAGGATCCATTCGGCAGCTTTCGTGCCGTTTTCCACCCGATGATCTCTGCTCCAAAACCTGCGATTCTAGTCAGGAAATGAAGCAAGATTGGAGTCAGTCTTCTTTACTCGGTCATTGTCTTGAGGTGACGCATTGCACGTTCAGTATTGAACGGTGTCGGTTGCTCAGCAGAGTCCATAGATCGGCCATCAAGTTCGCCCTGCATCCAATCTGACCCTCGCTGAGCCAAGTCAGCATTCAGGTCGAGTGTGTTGAGGTATTGACTGAAGTCATGATCAGGAGTGGATATCATTTCGAGAACTTCTTCGTCCTGAGGAGATGTCAGTCAAATCAACTTTTTGAATGAATAGAACCGAGCCGGGTTCAAGAAAGCTTACCTTGATGTCAGTGATGTCGATGAAACGGACACCGCTCTCGATCAACACATCTTTGTCCGCATCGGTGACCCATGATCCAGGATCAGCTGGGGATGTTTTGACAAGCCGAAGGGTAGAATCAGTATGGGCGAATAAGAATCGTGAACCCTGTTGGTGGCTTGGTGCAGGTGAGGTTGCTACGAAGGATGCCAATGCTGCCAAGACAGCAATGTAGCGGGTTGATACCATGCTGGATGTCGCTTCGCGTCTGCGTAGACGGAATGGAATAGTCCAACGGACAGATAAGCAGGCGGTACTCTGATCGGAGATGGGATTGGAAGAACGAGCTCGTGGATGCCGGGTAGTTGTAAGGAATGAACTTTATGTAGAATAATCAGGTAGAGTAACTCCTTTCTGCTCAGCAGGGCGGGATGCAAAATCTCGGGTGGGATGTGTTGGTGATGAAGCTGGTGCAGAAGATTTCGGACGTTGGTGGGCGTTCTCTGCTAAGGTTCTTTGGTACAATGAGACGGAAGCGAGGGCTTCCATTTACTTACATGGAAAGTGAGGTATAGAAAATACTTTCAGTCTTGCCAGAATCGCCATACTGTTGCAAGGGGAAGGCATCACGTCGTTAGGTACCTTCCATGGCTACGCACCTTGGGCATTTTGCTTCAAATGCGGGCAGGTACCTTAAGTGCGTCAGTTACGTACTGTTCTTTGCGACCGACAATGGCAGGTGCCAGCGTCTAAAGTGCTTTCTCTACCTAACCACCTCATCCAAAGTACCTACCTAGGATAAACACGCCCTGGCATTGAGTTAAGGGAAAGAACTCTGAATGCCATGAACAACACTACGCTATCTCACGACTTGCTTGGCCAGTTCAACAAGCGGCCAAGAGGAGAATGAGCACTAATATCTCGATGAACATGATTGCGAATGCCATCGTCAATTCATTACTCACGGAAAACTAGGTCTACACTACCTCGAGGCGCAAGTGTGATCTCACTTGCCATGCATGGCCTCGACCTCACAAATTTCTCTACTGAGTCGGGCCCCGTGCCTCTCTTCTCCCAGCCAATTGCCATGGACTCCGAATCTTTAGACATTGGTTCTTGTCTCACTTCAACACTTCTGTATTGTTGAAACACACGAACCAAGACGTACGCCATCTCAGTCAGAGCCAGCTGCTGCCCGATGCATATCCTCGGCCCACCATTGAACGGAATATACGTCCATGGACGAGGTGTCCAAGTTTCCCATCGACGGGGATAGAAGTCTTGGAGTGGATACTTGTATGAATTGAGATCATCTCGCAATTGAAGGATATGCGTGGAATAGATGATCTGGGTACCCGATGGAACTCCTACGGGGTCATTCCCGTCTAGTCCACCTCCACGTGGTAGACTGGTGTCTTTTGAAGCAGCTCTGATATTGAAAGGTGCGTTGGGATATAGCCGAAGAGTCTCATTCAACACGTGCGTGACGAACGTCATGCTCTTGAGGTCGTCATAAGTTGGTAGACGAGCTCCGGCACCAACGCCCAACTTGTTCTCGATCTCGCGGCGAAGCTCGGCAAGTACCTCGGGACTCTTCGCGAGCTCAAAGAAAGCCCAGGACATTGTGGTTGCAGTGGTGTCTCGGCCAGCGATCAATATCGACACCATTTCATCACGCAGATACCGAGCGTCTCGAGAGACACCAGCGCATGCATGAAGAAGTGTCCATCCGTGGTCTGTCTTGTCTATCTCCGCTAGCTCCGCATCCGACATTGATATTGCCTTCTCGATGCTGGGACCCATAAACTTATCCAAGGCCTCTAGGTCTTTGCGGAATCTGCGGCGCGGAACGAGGAAGTTCAGAGGGCCCAATCGCTCAATCAAGGACTGAGTGTGGCGGATACGCTCAAATGCTTCAAAGACGGCGTCATCCTCTTCGCTTGTCAGAGAATCCACCTGTCTTCCGAGGGAAAAGTCTGCCGATACATCAAGCGCAAATCTGCTTAAGATGTCCTTCATATCCACACAATGGCCACCAGCTAATGCTGGAAGCATATCCTGGATATGACGCTCAAAACAGACGAGGTCACTAACTCGTTGGCGGGTGAAGAGAGATCGGAGACGTTGGCGCGAGGCATGCCAAGCGTCACCGTCAACGTTGAAGATGCTATTTCCCATGAGTTCAAACCAATCTGCTCTGAAGCGCTGACCCTTTCCAAAGTCGCTGAATTGAGTTGCCAGCATGGCTCGAATATTCTCGGGATCGGCAGTGAAAATTGCACGCGACCCTATCAAGGAGACCTCAAACGTGTATGGGTTCTTCTTCCCCTGGCCTGATCGGAGAAACGCGTTATGCATGAATTTGAGGTTTTGATCCTGTAAGGCATGAGTGGTGATGGACCACAGGAAATGCAAGCCGGACAACACGCCTAATTTAGCGTTAGTCATCACGAATAGTAGCTTGAGATTTCGGAAACTAACCAAACGGCGTATATGACTTGTATCTCGACGCGTGCCCTCCATGACGCCGAATCCTCCTTTCTTCGTCAATGAACTTAGCAATCCTTCGCAGGACGACGAGGAACAGTAGCCCAAGGACAAGCCATTCTGTATATGACCCAAGGAAACCATCTCTGATGTGACTGGGTTTGCTCATAGCTGCGAGTGGCTAAATTTTGAAGAGGTAGAGACTGAGCCAAGGGATCTGGTGCGAGATCCGAAATACAGAGGACTAATACCGAGGAAAGATTCTTCTTGACTTCTATAGCCGTTGATCTCATCATCAGGACAATGACGGATGCCAAATCTGGTCTTTTGTCCGAGATACTCGGTCTTGAAAGCCCGGAAAGCATGCAGTAATTTTTTTCTTGCCGATTGCTACTGTCTTATCGAAATAAGAGATCGAAACATACTTCGACAAACGTCTCGGGGAGAGGGGCGAATTGCGAGTCCGCGGTAGAGCCTGAGGTGTAACCAGTGACATAACTAGACCAAAACGGATGATTCTCTTCGAGGAGGATGGCATGCTGAGAATCGGAAAATGTGTTATGGAGTCGACCTTGCGAGCATGGGTCAGCCGGCAGACAAAGTTTGATATAATTGACTTCCGGTATCATGCAACATACCTGCGGAACGCAGCGGAACTATCAGGCGACGGAACCAAGGCAGAGCAGGGGCCTCCTCCGGAGACGCTTCCCGGAGGAATCAAACCTTACGACGTGATCTGAGTAGTGCGCTACCACTCATAAGAATTTCGCTTCAGGGAAAGAAAGAGGCTTTGTGGACAGCGTGAGGATACATGCAAGAAGAACTGCTCTGAGACTATTGCAAGCACCAAACCTGAAGATGTCGACAAACGGTTTCGTTGCTCTTTGTCTGATTGGGCTCTATACTATGTACACCATATCGTGTCTCATTCGAAACATCACCGTTGCCAAGACTATTGGTATTCCGGTTGTCTGGAGCCCCATAAGCCCCTTCAACTCATTCTGGATCATCTTCAACAAACGAGTTGCACCAATCTTTCAGCGCCTTCCTCTAGGCCTGGGCGATTGGACCACGTACAATACTCTTGATTGGACATGGGTTGACCGGACACATGGGAACTCTGAAGTTCATGACAAGCATGGCGACACCTTCGCTCACGCCACGCCGAGAGAAGTTGAGATTCACACTCGGGATCCTGCAGTAGCTATTCAAGTGCTTCGGAAGCAGGCGAACGACTTTCCCAAGATAAGCCATTACGCCAGCAAGTGTACACTATCTCATGAGGTCAAGTGCTGCTCTTTTTGGCTGACCAATCTTTCGAAGAAATCCTAGACGTACTGGGCACGAGTCTGGTATCCTCAGACGGCCATGATTGGACTCGTCACCGGAAGGCGACTGTCGCCACTCTGAGCGACAGGACCAATCGTCTCGTGTGGGCAGAAGGCGTCCGACAGACTCAGCAAATGATTCATCATTATCAACACACTTCACGGGGCCTAATTTGCGATCCTGTGGACGATGTCCGCGAACTTTACCTTCATGTCTTCACTAGCGTTTGTTTCGGCTTTACGTATGACTTCAAGCAGCCCGAAAGAGACTGCATTCCAGAAGGACACTCGCGAAGCTACAGGTACTGTCTCCACACCAGTCTCAAGGATATTCTCATCCTTCGGCTGGTGCCAAGTTGGGCTATGAGATTTCCTTTCCTGCCACAGAGGATTAAGAACTTCCGAGATGCTGTAGCTGAGATGCGGCAGTATCTCGATGAAATGATCAGTGACTGCAAAGACAATCTTAGAGGCAGCAGGGAAAAGACGCAGAATGACAACTTACTTAGCTTTATGGTAAAGAGGAACAGAGATTTGGAAGTCGAAACTCTCATGGATAAATTCAAGGATGATGGATCGCATGCCTTACTGACAGAGTCTGAGATTCGAGGAAATCTATTTACCTACTCACTTGGAGGACATGAGTCTTCTGCACATACGCTGACGTTTGCAATCTATCTCCTGGCAGCTTTACCAGAGCAGCAAGCTTGGCTTATGGAAGAGATTGATGAGGTTCTTGGTGGCAGGCCAGATTGGAAGTCGCAGGATGCTTTCATGGATATTTTCCCTCGCTTGAAAAGGTGTCAAGCCGCCATGGTAAGTAGGCCTGAATTCACCTTCCGGGGCGATTTTCAATATCAAGTCTGACACACTTATAGAACGAGACACTCCGATTGTATCCTTCGGTCACAGTCCTTCCCAAATGCACCGGGTCGAAAGCAACGACTTTGCTTGTTGGTAGCGAAGATCATCGCATCCCAGCAAACGCCAATGTCTTTGTCAACATGCCTAGCATTCAGGTACATCAACCCGTATGGGGAACCGATGCAATGCACTGGAAACCTGATCGATGGATCCTGACAAGCGATCACATGAAGGGTCTGGAAAGCGAACAACTCAAAGCACCTCCTGATGGCGCTTTTCTCCCGTGGAGCGAGGGGAAACGGGCTTGTCCGGGCAAGAGATTCTCCCAGGTTGGCTTTGTTGCAGCACTTGCGACTCTCCTCTACAAGCACAGACTTGAAGTCATACCCAATGCTGAAGAAAGCCTCGAAAACGCTAGGGAAAGGATCATTGAAGTTGTAAACGACACTTACGCCGTCATGACTGTCCATATGCACAAGCCTCTCTCTGTTAGAATCGGGGTTCTCAAGAGAAGCTAGAAATCAATATGGCTTCAATTTGAACTATTTTACTTATTGCTTCACTTGAAACCGAGTTACGATAACGTAGAACGCCACTTAATACATTCCCTTAGATGCAAGTTATATGTAAGTTAGATGTAAGTTAGATGTAAGTTAGATGTTAGTAAGTTATATTTTTGAGATAAATGGGGTTTCCACCCAATTGAACTACTTCGGTGTCTTTAAATCTCCTTGGTTTACGTATGTACACAGGATCAAGTTGCATGTATAGTTACAGATGGTTTTTCAATCGGCGATATTCACTGGATGACTTGGGCGACGAGTACCTATAACGCTACACTAACAATTTTTCGGGGTCTATTGCTGCGCTGTTTCTTGCGCTAAATTCAAGACTCTCATTCTCGTTATTATTATTGGATATACTATTTCTAGGGGTTGGCAAATCTTTAACCCTTTGTCGCGGCGACTTTTCTGCAATTTACAGCACATCGGCGAAATTGTTCCTCCGACAACTTGGATCCTAACCGCCAACCCCTAATAGAAAGATTACGTGAGGCCGGATTAGACTGGATTCAGGCCCGGGTTAAGGCTAGATCGTAAAAGCCGGAGTCAGGCTTGCTCTATAAAGATCGGCTCTTCTCGCCAGTCATTAAATCCTAGGATAACTGAATCGGTCCGTAATCAATCCTCACATGCTCGATAACCCCAAATATGTCAACCTTCATTACGCCTGCGAATTTTGCGGCCACCATTGGGCTAGCCGCAACCATGATGGGCTCCATCGTCACGCTAAAACCAGAACTCGGCATCAAAATGTGGCACTTCGATATTGCGTCCTCCGAGGATTTCAAGGATCCAAAATCGGAAAATAGGAGCCTGATCTTGGACGAGCTGCGCTTGTTCGCCGTACGCGAGTTCTTCATTGGAGCAAGCCTGTTTGCGGCAGCATACTTCGGCAACCACAAGACCTTAGCTGCGATGTGCTTGCTTGGGGTCCCGGTGGTCACTATTGATGGCATTGTGCAGCGGAGACAGGCACCCAAGGCGGATTGGTGGGTTCATTTTGCGTTGGCGCCGGTGTTCGCTGGGTTAGGTGTTGCGTCGTGGAGGCAGCAATGATTGAGTTCGCTTCCCTCGGGGCGCGGCTTTGGGTCATGTGGCGTGCTTGGCATAAAACAGTGTGGTTGAGTCGAGCACGAGAAACTTTGGATCTTTGGTTGAGTTAGCTGAATCTCAAGTTGAAGCACCTACAGAGGGGAGGGTTTTCCACGCGTTCGCGGCGGAAAGATTTGGCTCTCAAAGTCATCAGCCATGGCTCACACACTGTCAGGGGCTGTCGGAACATTTAAAGCGGGTATATGAGCGCTAGCTTTGGTCATGCAAACTTCTATCTTTAGGCAATGTCCAGGCCCTCTTCCTCCTCCGCTAGCATATGATCCTACGCTTGTGACCGGAACGACTGAAGTCCTTCTGTTTCCGCCTCTTCTGTTAGTCGCGCTTTTGGCCCTCCGTTCATTGCAGTCTGCGGTGCTGCGGTGTAAACAAAATCACGAACGATGCCCTTGGGAGCCCACAGCCACACCCGACCGATACCTAATAGATCATGTGCTATGGAAGCATCTCGGGCATGTGCGTCTCCTTAGTAAAATGAGGCAGGAAATCACAAAGTGAAAGCTAGATTAAGGAAGGCTCACAACTAAACATTTGGCCTATCAAATCTAGCCAGCTTTCTTTTGTCAATCCTTCAGCCAGCTATATACTTCGAGCCCTCGGTGCCTTTGCCTCAAAGAGAAGGGTTGTCCCAACCACCTGCCAGTCTACGTACTTGAAACCGGCCTTGAGTGGCTCAACTATGTCAGCTGCGTAATCTTTGTTATTGTGGAAAACGCCCAAAAGATTGTGCCAGAACATGAGGAACCTTCCAAAAGCATTGTGTTTCACTCCACCGCCCAATACTGTTGCACCAACCAGAACACCATCTGGTTTCAAAAGCCGACCTAGCCCTGCCATAGCCTCTCCTTTTCGCTTGGAACTCCCAGGGAGACAGTGCAACAATAACATACAAGAAATGACGTCGAACTGTCCGTTGCTACCCATATGCAGAGATGAAGGTAGTTGCGAGGTATGGCGATCGCCAAGCACAAAGACGTCAGCTTGAACTGTGTCAACGATGACGTCGGGATGTGCCAGTTGAATGCGGTGTTGAGCCTCGGCTAGAGGGTTTTGATTGATGTCGACCAGAACGAGTATCGAATCAGGAGGAAGAGGCGCCCTCTGCATAAAAAAGCCAGTGCCGACGCCGATATCCAGCAGTCTTGCATTAGGTTTGACAAGGGAGGAAATGTGCTTGCTATAGTGACCTGAGAGGACGTCTCTAGGACATCCCCAGGCTAATGGACAGTAGAAGCCGAGGACAAGGGTATCGTAGAGCCATCGTAGAAACAGTGGGAAATAGACAGCGTTGCCAAGGGTGCTTGCAGACATGGTGTGAGGAAGCGGACGGAATGTGGGGAATTGGAAGCTGTGAAGAGATTCTTGCTTGAATCGGTTTCGCAGATTTGACAATGTTCAGGGGCATCTACTATGATATGAACCCCAGCACGGCAATATTTCGTATGAACAGTTGCTCTGACACGTTGCAGTATAAGGTTCGAGTTGTGATGCTTTAGCTTGAATGTTGCTTTTTATTAACCGCGCGGCGGCAGGAGACTTCTGTCACGTCGGTAAGCGGATACCATCCCCCGTTATCAGTCGAATACCCTAATTGGAACACATTAACTATGCAGAAGTAAAGACGCAAGACACCCATTCAACAGACCGGCGGATTAAACCGAATGGTACAAGCCTCGGCAACTAATCCGGGCAGGTGACAGACCTTCTTCTTCAGGCAACTTTTGGTGGTTAGCGCCTGGTGTTTAGGCCATATTAACTTTTACTACTATTCCACGCAAGTCGTTACAAGGGCCCAGCACGGTAAATCTGGCGGAGTTCAAACCTTCAGACTAAGGTACCAATCGTAGTCTACGATCTCGATCGAGCAATTGAGACCCGAGCGCTCGCACCTTTTGGCTCATCCGTGTACCACGCTTGCTATTGTTGGAGTTCGATCAAGGTTGATGAGATAGCCGCTTCAGTTCCGACCGAACATCTGCCCGTTCTCGCGAGTTAGACTTTAATAGCTGCGCCTTATCGTCTGGAAAGCGGGAAACCTGCTTCCGGACTCCTTCAAATGGTCGATCTGGCGGTTGAGTGATTGACAGCTGAACTCTGACGGAGCTGATTGACGTCGCAATTGTTTGAAACCTTTTGCAGCAGTGGGTTCGCGATTCCGTCTCCAAGACTCGGTCAATTCGATCCTTGAACGGCCCAAACCTTCTCAATCTCAGCTGGGCTCTCTCCAGTCAAAGTAGTTATCTAGGTGTAGCATTTTGTTGTCAGTCATGTCAACAGCGACTAAAAACGCGATTGGATCTTTTTTGGCGGAGAATCAATCAAGGAAAGTTCTCGAGACTGAAATAGCCGCAAGTGAAGTCTGACTGTAGCAACCAATTGCATTTCCACTCTTCCGTAAATATCCATTTTCCATGGAATGTGACGTTCTCAAGTTTGTGTAACTTCCGCTTGAAACCCTTCTTTGCCTCTTTTCCGTGATCATTGGACTATCCAGCATCAAGAAACTTTGGCAAGAGCTGCTGCTAAATTAGTATAGAAAGGACCGAATCCGGTAACGTCTTGTTCATGAACAGTCCTGAATCTATTAGGAATCATCGTGTTATCACTCAACTGCGGATGTCAATCCATAATCAACAACATCAAAGTCAAGTTATTAGTATGGATACAATGCAAGACCAGATACAACCTATCGCCATAGTTGGCTTGAACCTCAAGTTCCCTGGAGACGCTACTTCGGCGGAATCCTTCTGGGAGATGCTTGAGAATGCAAGGAACGCATCAAGCAAGGTGCCCTCAACCCGCTTCAACGTCGATGCATTCTATCATCCAGACCCTAACCGACTCGACAGTGTGAGTTATTGCCTTTGATTCAACGTACGTGGTCAACATCTGATTGCTCTGGAAACCAGATGCGTGTTCAAAACGCCCACTTCATGAAAGAAGATCCGCGGGCCTTTGATGCTGCCTTTTTCAACATGTCGCCAGCAGAAGCATCCATCTTAGATCCCCAACAGCGCGGGCTCCTCGAGGGCACATATCACACCTTTGAAAATGGTATGAGCCGATAGATGTTCTTGATCAAGGCATTAATCACTAATCGAGAATTTATGGAATCATACAGCTGGCTTAGCAATGGAGAGAGTTGCTGGTTCCCGCACCTCAGTTTTCTGCGCCTCTTTCGGCCGCGATAGTGATGCCATAGTGGCCCGAGATCCAGAGTTCCAATCCCGGTACCAAGCAACGTCTTCAGGGTCGTCTATGTTGTCAAACCGCATCAGTCATTTCTTTGACCTCCGAGGTCCATCTTTGACGGTTGACACCGCATGCTCCAGCGGACTGTACGCCCTTCACCTAGCGTGTCAGAGCATACTCAACGGGGAGTCCGACATGAGCCTAGTCTGTGGCTCCAATACCTATCTCACTCCCGAGTGCATGAGTTTCCCCTTGAGCAACGCCGGCTTTCTATCTCCGGATGGCCGATCCTATAGCTTTGACCACAAAGCCAACGGTTACGCTCGTGGAGAGGGATACGCATTCGTTCTTCTCAAGCCGTTGTCCAAAGCTCTGGCGGACGGAGACATTATTCGATCAGTGATCCGTGCCACAGGCGCAAATCAAGACGGGCGGACGCCGAGTATCACCCAGCCCAGTGCTGCCGCTCAGGTTGAGCTCATTCGGAGAACTTATGCTTCTGGAGGACTGGACCTTTCCGAGACCGAGTACGTGGAAGCTCACGGAACCGGCACACCAGTCGGTGATCCAATCGAGGTTTCCGCGATTGGAGAGGTTTTCAGACCTCATAGATCTAGCCCGCTCTGGATTGGGTCTGTGAAGAGCAATATTGGCCATCTCGAGGGTGCTAGTGGCCTGGCGGGTTTGCTCAAGACAGTCTTCTCGCTCGAGAGAGCCATTATACCTCCCATCGCGGACTTTGAAAAGGTGAACCCAGCAATCGACGTCGATGCGCTAGGCGTTCAGTTTCCAACGAGCTCTACGGCTTGGCCTGCCACTCCTTCTGGGATCCGCCGGGCTTCAGTAAGTTCGTTCGGATATGGCGGATCTAATGCACATGTCGTATTGGATGATGCATACAACTATCTTCGGATTCGAGGCCTTACTGGAAACCACCTATCCGTGGCCAAGTCGAATGACTCTTACAAGCCATGTGTTGCGAACAGCAGCACCTCAGTTGGACCAGTCGAAGATCAGGCCCCAGACGCCGGCATTTCTGATTCCGTTTCAGATGTTTCTGATGATAGTGGTGTCATCATTGGCTCTGAAGACGATGCTGAGCATAGCTCCATCTCGCTTCTCACATTCTCAGCCGCCGATGAGGACGGTCCACGAAGACAGGCCTCGGCGTTGCAAGATCACGTCGCTACCCAGCGGATGTCGCGAAAGAGAGCACAGAGAGTTTTCCTTGCCGACCTAGCCTACACACTCTCTCAGAAGAGCATACTCAACTGGAGAGCATTTGCAGTGGTCAAGTCGGAAGCGAACATCGGCAACAACCTCGTAGAGATCCTCTCCCCCATTACGTCAGTCTTGTCATCGAAGAGGCCAGAGCTCAATTTCGTCTTCACAGGCCAGGGAGTTCAGTACCCGCGCATGGGTCTCAAGCTGATGCGTTACGAAGTATTCCGGCAGAGTCTGATGGACTGCGACGAGTATCTGCGGTCTCTTGGTTGCGAATGGTCCGTCCTCACGGAGCTTCGGAAGGCCCCGGGATCGTCCAGAATTCAAAAGCCTGAAATTTCACAGCCCCTTTGTACCGCTCTACAGATTGCCACTGTCGACCTTCTCCGAAACTGGGATATCATACCACAATCCGTATGCGGCCACTCATCGGGTGAAATCGCGGCAGCATATTGTGCTGGAGCCCTTGGTCGCCAGTCTAGCTGGAAGATTGCATACTTTCGAGGCGTCTTGGCAGGTCGATTGGCATCTGATGCGTCTCGGAGCAAGACGACGATGATGTCTGTTGGCCTCGGCGAGGCAGCCGTACGCCCCTATCTTTCAAACAGGCTCTCGATAGCTTGTATCAATAGTCCAGCCAATGTGACGATTTCAGGGCCGACTAAAGAGATCCAGCTCCTGTTTGAGAGACTGGAGAAGGAAGAGATCTTCGTCAAAAGACTTCCTGTTGATGTTGGATATCACTCTCCGGCCATGGAAGTTGTCGCAGCCGAGTATCAAGATCGAATCCGTGATATTGGCGCACCTACTGGCTCAGCCGCCGAGAGGTTACGCAAGGAGTCTCTCGTATCCTTCTACTCCTCAACCGAGGGAAATCTCACATCTTTTGAGGCTGTGACGAACCCTTCGTATTGGGTAAAGAACCTTGTCTCTCCAGTTCTCTTCTCAGGTGCTCTCGAAGCCATGACCGGATCGAAACATGGAGGGCAACACTTCCTCGTAGAAATCGGTCCGCAGTCAGCTCTCAGACGACCTGTGCAAGATACCTTGACTCCTCACCTCGGCAAGAAGGCTGCTAAGAAATGGCAGTACGTCAGCGTATTGAAGCCCAACGTCGATGATGATCGATCATTGATGGAGGCTCTCGGCAGTCTCTGGGCAGCAGGCATCCCGATTTCTTTGTCCAAGCCAAACCAGGAGTCGACTCAAATATCGCGGAAACCGAAGATTCTGGTGGACCTTCCTTCATACCCCTTCAGTCGGTCTCGGGAGTTCTGGGAGGAGAGCAGGCTGAGTCGCAACTACGCAAAGCGTCCGTGCCGTAGGCATGCTCTTCTAGGCATCAGAGACCGTGACTGGAATCCCGAAGAGGGAAGTTGGAGGCACTTGATCCGATCCCAAGAGAACCCTTGGATCCTGGATCATGCCTTGAACGGCTCACCGCTGTATCCCGGCTCGGGTATGCTTGTCATGGCCATCGAAGCCGCCCGTCAACTTGCCACACCAGTTGAAAATCGCATCCGCGGCTATCAGCTAGACAACGTACGCTTTTTGAGAGCCATTGATGTAGACGACTCAGAGCGCGGCACAGAAGCAAAGATTGTGATGCGGCGCCGTCGACAGGCCACCAACACAAGCGGACAACAGCTCTGTTACGACTGGCGGGTTTTTGGGACCAATGGCGACGACTGGAACGAATGCGCTTATGGAAGCATCAAAGTCGAACTTGAACCGGAGCAAGTCTTGGGATCCGAACAGGCCGCCGCTTCCGAGGCACGTCGGTCCCGCTTTGAGACGTCTGTCAAAGAGCAACTTCAGGCAGACGTCGACAAATGCCGTCTGGTCGTGCACCCCAGCCAATTATACAAGAATATGTCCCAGCGATCAGGTTTCGA